TTTTTCTTTATTTGTTTTGTTTGTTTGTTTGTTATTTTGACTCATGCCGCATGTCTCAGAGGCCTTTGTCCATCCGTGGTGATGGGCTTGTCGTGCTGCCGCCATAGGTTAGTCACTCCAAGTTGTTGCTTGCGATCTAGTCTCCTTCGAGAAAGTCTTGAAATCAAAGTGTAGCACTGTAGTACTGAAGGCGCTTCGTTGTATTGAACTCAATATATCGCTGAAGCTGTCTTGGCCAGGCACAGTGCATCGTGGCAGCGCTGGTGTACTTTGTCCCGCAGGATGTTCAGAGAAGTAGATCCGTCAAGTCAAGCTGCGTTCTTTTGCCCGTGTTTAACTTTGGTGTCTCTGTCAAGAATGCATGGTGTAGAGGATGCTGTCTTCCTTGGCGGACTATTCTATGTGTGGCACAGCACAGTGCCACACCAAGTTGATGCGTTTATTCCATTGCCTTTTCGTGGCCTGTGTTGAGCTGACTGGAGGCTGCGAGCATCAGCCCAAAAGTCAAGCAAGCAGATGCCGATGCTGCCCTCGAGGAGAAACAAGATCGCAGTCAGCACTTCAGGCACTTGGCCTATCTTGGCCTATTTTCAAGACGCCTTGAGGAGTGGAAGAGCAAGAAGGGCCTCGAAAGCGTCAAAGTTGTGAAGGGCCGCAACACCTGGTACGTCACTTCCTAGAAGTTCACTTTCCCTCCTGTGCAAACATGACAGCGCAGAGGTGACCAGCAAGCTATTGTTAATTTTGACTGTCAAGTGAGCGTGCTGTTGTCGCCACTATAGAGGAAAAAGGCTGCCCGACAGATCAGTGTTAGTTTGTTCGCCTGATGACACTGTGTTTGCTTATCTTTGTGGTTTGCCCTGAAGACTCTCTTGGGCTTGCTGTCCATCATGGCAGTTGGGATCATGGACTTCAGTCTTTCATGAGTTGGAACTTGAAAGACAACTTGTAGGTGGTCCATCAATTGCTGGAAAGCGAGGAGTCCGATCTGTTTGGGTCAGATCCTTAGCTGAACCGCAGTCCGATGCTAACTTGGCTGTGGGTCAAAACCCGGGACACAGGTTGAAGGACTGGAAAATGAACAGAATAGATGGGCTATAGGGAGGTCAACTGGTCAACCCACCAAGGTTTAGGGCTTTGATGGGCTTTGGGTCTTGACACACTGCCACTTGAGTTCGCTGATGTGAGTTGTTTTCGTCCTCCAATTGGCGGTGAGTCGGAGAGAGGTGGCCATGGGAGCCACTGCTGATTGCGCCGCAATCAAGACAGCTAGTCATGCTAGCTATGAAGAAATTGAATTGGCCGTGTGGGCAATTGTTGAGGCATATCAAATGATTTGCTGCAAGGATGTTTGTCAGACTGGCGTTCAGCACTTTGCCAGTGATGGGTCTTCTCTACAAGCTTCAACAATTGGCCAAGGCAATTGTACATAGTTTAGAACTTTGTTTAAAGGCTCTTGTGGCAACCATTAAGAGGCCACGTGTAGCTGGAGCTTCAGTCAGAAGCTGACCACAGATTGCAGGTTTTGTTTCCATGCACAGCATCAATGCTGCAAATTGGTGCTGGCATACACTCATCGGCCAGCCAAGCAAGCCCGCTGCAGATTGAAGGTCAAGTAGTCCCGCTTACCCATGCTTAACCACTACTGCCAGGATGAGTAGATACTTGTCGTGGCCCGTCTGAATCGTTTACATTTCACTGCTCCAGTGAGTTGATTGCAACAAGGCTGCTTGGTGTAGTTATAGTTTACTGTAAGTCACAGTTCACAACTTGACCGAGCCATTTTGCAGTTAGCTGGCTGGCTATCAAGCACGGATGTGACCTCATCGGTCTCTAGACTCAGACCTCAGCAACCGAAAGAAAAAAGAGTGTCGGCAGTATCGGTCTGACTGATTGCATGATTCTTTGACCTGGCGTGTGCCCTTGACGACATCAACAGTCATCTACCCACTACATGCGATAGCGGTAGCGCAACAGATCCCGCATCCACTTCAAGTCCTTCTGTGATTTGAACACTTCGGCCGGAGTTCCAACCGCCTTCGCAGTATCGGCTGCACACTCATCAAGCTGAGGAGGCATCTCAAGCACCGGTTCTCCCGTATTAGAGGGCCGATCTACTCATTCCGAAGTTCAAATAATTTGAATTAATTTGAGATCAGCGGCGCGCATCAGGGAAGCCTCAGTTTCAAATTTCCAGCCCTGCTGTGCCGCTGTGGCCCCCCTTGTTGTCTTTGGCAGTTTGAGCTTAGTAGTTCAAGCAGCAGGTCATGCCCGGGCCGCTATCGCACTACGCTTGTAGTGCGGTGTTCATGGCAGCGATGTTTGTTCCATTGCTATTTGTTTGGTCTTAGTTCCTGAGTCAAATTGTCGGAACTTGGAACCTGCAGTTGCAACCACGTTCTGCGCTGCAATCTGCAAAGGAACCCTGTGGGTCCTGTCTTCCCAGCACCTTTTGAACAATTGGCTGCTTGCACCGAGATTGTTGTAGCAGAGATCGCCCGAGGAAGCAACATTTCTTCAAAGTTCTTGCTGGTGTCATTTGAGTATGTTGATTGGCACTCTGAGGGTGGCCCCAACACAAACAGCGGCTCAAGTTGGCCTGATCTTGCGGGCGCGGTGGTCCCACTTGTTATTGGTGGGGTGTTTTGATGCTCTCCTAGAACTCCCCGCTGGACCAATGGCCTTGGCATTTGATTTGTCAGCTCTTTGATTTGTTCGTCAGTCACGAGTCTTTTGTCCCAGACTTGATTGTTGAGTCATGCACCAGGCATTCTAGGAGACTCTTTGCGGCGAGCTGGCTGCCTTCAACTTACCAAAGCTTTTCACATATCCAGATGCTGCGCACTTGGCTTGCTTCCTGCTTTCAACTGGATTTGGCGCTTTGCTAAATATATAGAGGGAAGGAGTTAGTTCTGCTCTAGGGGGATTCAGGAAGCTGTGAAGAGCTTACAGTAAGCCAATGTTTTGGTGTGCCAACACTACCAGCAACGAACCCTTGCGCACTGCGCACTGCCTCGCGACGCAGCTGTAAATGGAGCGAAGGGCATATACCTACTGCTTGCCATTGTTCAGAAACTGATCGAGTGTATATAGTGATGTAGTGGCCAGTGGCGAAATACAATTCGGTGTTCATGCCTGCTGGACACTTGTGTGCCCTGTTGCAAGTTGTTTGGGTTTGGACCTCTTGTCTCTTCAGCTATCTTCAACTCAGCCCAATGTGGCCGGGCACATTCTGCTCCTGCAGCATGCGTGCCCTTTGAGTGGCCGCTTTGCGCACATACGGGAAGCCGGAAGAGGTGCGACACAGCACGCACGCGTCATCAAGACAGCAAGTGGCCCAATGTATATACAGAGCAAGTCTGCAGGTGTCAAACTGCATGTTTTGGGCTTGTGAGGCTGAGTTTGTTCGGTGTGTTTTTGTGGCTAGCAGGGAAAGGACAGACAAGGCCTGTTCGGGGGCAAGCACTCGAAGACAAGTGATGTTAGTGGATAGCAAGTCTCCCAAGGACCAAAGATCATCGAGCTGCTTATTCTATAGCAATCCGGCCACACCCCATCGCCCAAACATACTGACTGAGTATCCTTGGGAAACGCAAGAATTGGTTCGTTGACAAGGAAAGCTGACACGTCGATGTATGCCTTTTTCGCTGAACTGCTGCGATTGGCATGATCCTTTGCCACATTGAACCAGCGCAACACGGTTTCAGAGCACCCTTGTGTTGAAGAGCATTTGGCAACAAGCAGCAAATCTTGGGATTGACAAGGCACTAGGGGCCAACACTCCAATCTGAATTGACACAGGTGTTTGATAGAGTAGAGTGGTCATGGCGAGATACCCTCAACATACCCTCACGATTTTTGTTGCGGTCTGGGGCAACTCTCCTGACGAATTTACGCTGTGTAAATCATGTCTGAAATAGTTACACAGAAGCTATCACGGGTTGAATCTCCAAACTCGTGACCATGCTTTGGAAATCTTTGGAACTGTTTGACTGTATTTGAGTGTAGATATATTGAAGAAACCAAACCAACACTTGTGAAGATAATCAGTGAACCTGTTTGGAAATCAGATCACTTCCGGCAAATAATATAAATGCATGTCAGAAATTGGTGGTGGGCATTTGGTGTAGAGTAGGAGGAGAGCTGAAACTGTAGCTAGCAAGACTTGTGTGCATAAACAAAAAATCAAACCAACTCAAAACTGCCATGAGGAACTCCCACAAGTGAAAAGCGCCCTTCACTCCCTTTTCCACGGCCCAGTGGGACGAGCTACTTCAACCAACTCTGGCAGCTGCCTGACACAGACCGACGAGCTGCCAGGGCCGCGCCTCGCCCCCCTCGCCTTCGTTTGCCACGCCGCGCGCCGTTCGCCCCTCGTCCCAGACGAGACTCTCCGATCAACGCCGCCCGACGGGGCCCGACGAGGAG